CCTACCCATCCAATTTTCTGTCCTCTTTTCCTTTTAATTTTAAACTCATTAAGTCCAGTTTGCAAATCAGTATTTTCATGAGTCTGTAACTCTAGTGGTGAATGTTGGTTGTGGTTTATAGCATTGTTGAATCAATTTAGATTGCCTATGGAAAAGATGGTTTGCATAACTGGCCATTCTTCTGCTCACCTTGGTTCAGATGATAAGGTATTAGACGACTTAGAGGTGATCTGGAACAACACCTTAAGTATAGCTGAGCAGGATGGTTCATACTTGTAATTCCTGCACTCACAAGGCTGAGACAGTACGATTGTAAGTTGAAGGCAGCCTAGGCTACGTAGACTTTCTCCACAAAGATAAAGAGGAGAAAAGAATGAAAAAAGAACATGCAGCTGTAAGGAGAGCATCTTTCTATGTGCCAACATCCACATAAGCAAATTCTAATTTCAGTATATCATCACATATTGCTAATATCTGCTTATTACAGGTTTCACTGAGGTAAATGGTGGAGGATTGTGGATGGGTAGGTGGAAAGATGGGCTGCCATGAAAATCAAAGCCCTGCCCTGGTGATTAAAATTAGAAATAGAGACATGAAGCCCAAATTTTAGGTGAATGTCCAGTTTGAACTTTCCAACAGAATGAAGTTTCCTCAGGAAGAAGTTGACCTCTCTGGAACACTGATGGAATACCAGATATTCATAGTGGAGTGGAAATAGAGAGAGTGTGCATTATTTGACAAAAGAAGCTTAGGAAGACATTCCTGCCACAGATCCACAAATACATGTATTTTATTTTCCTTATCTCTAGGGTTGAGATTGATGTTTTTAAAAAAATGTAAAATTAAGTGCATTACTTATAAACTTTGAACTAACAGTGTTCTTTTGAGAGAAGTATTTGGTCTGCATTGTTAAATATCAATCATTAGATAACACTTTAGCAGAGGAACTCAGTCAAGTTGGAACAGCTTTTAAGAAACCAATTACAATGTGAGTTATGAAAGAGAAGTGGAAGAAGCCCAGGGAAAATACTAGAAAATGCAAGTTCTTTCATCCATTGAATTTTTGCAGAGAGTTCTGGCTAACTGGGTTATTCAGACTTAAGACAGCAATAAAAACAGGCCCTTGTTTTAAGGATAAAAGGATTGTTAAAAAGCAGAAGCTGCGATTATTAACATTGCAAAGACTCTTCCTTTTTAATAAGTATTTTCTTATTGACACTAAAGTGCATGACTCCATAATAGATAGGAATTAAAAAGAAGCATTGAATTTTTGAGCACCTTGTAAAATATATTTAAATTGATATTCCACAGTTGAAATAGCAGTATAGGAGTGCAGCAACAATATAGGAAAAGAAAGTGCTCTTTTCATACTCTGGCATGTTGATTGTTCAAAGGGATTATGAAATAATTTTCTTTCATAATTCAATTTGAGTAGTTAATTTTGCTGGTTCTGTTTGAAGATGATATGGAAGATTTGAACAATTTTTTAAAGATTTTATTTCTGGCTAACTGGGTTATTCAAACTTAAGACAGCGTGTGTGCATGTGTGTGTGTGTGTGTGTGTGAGAGAGAGAGAGAGAGAGAGAGAGAGAGAGAGAGAGAGAGTGTAAGTGCCTGTGAAGGACAGAAGAGGGTGTCAGTCCCCTGAATCTGAAGTTACGGGGACTTCCTGTGAGCCACCTGATGTAGGCACAGGGAATTAAATTTACATCCGAACTCTTAACAGGTGGGTTATCATCTCTCTAGCTTCCTCTGACAGTAGTTTGAAGAAATGAAATGTTAAAACTTAAAAGATGCAGTTAAACCTCTGTAGTTCTCACATGTAAAGAAAGGATATTCGAGTCATGAGTCCTGCAGGCATGTGAAAAGAGCCTCAGAACACAGGGAGCAACAACTGCTAAGAGAACTCTAAACAACAGCAGGCCTAGGATGAGAAACATTACCACTTCTTTTCTCCTAAGGGACACCATTAGCAGAACAATCAGCGAAGACTAGAGTCATACCATCGCCCACAACAGCAACCTGACACTTTCAAAACAGTTGTCCATGTCTCCCCCCTCCCACCTCCCTACTTCTCCTACCCCGAAGGCAGCAGCTACAGTATCCACTGGACACTCTCCAAAGTAGACTACATTCTGGATGATAACAATCATTTAAAAATGTAAGATGATTAAAATTCTAAAGATTCTCCACAGTGGGGAAATACCCAAATACTTATAAATTAAATATCACACTTGTATACTAACCCATGGTGTCCCAGAGAAACAAGGCAGAGGAAGCTAAAAATAATTAACTATATTTACAAGTAAAAACATGGCTTATTGAAATTTGTGGGATCAACAACTTCAATGCAATGTGAAAAATTACCATCCAGTGATTTCACTTTTAGGAAATTAAAGTATGAACAGCCCTTTTTGTAGCAATGCCTCTGTCTCATGGCTTGCTTTTAGTAGGAAAAAAACTGAATAAACCTTAAGGGTGAATAATAGGAGACTGTAAATTAAACTATGATAAATATATGGGTGATGATGATACTGGATGATGCTGCTGCTGCTGCTGCTGATGGAGAACATACTCTCACAAACTGAAATTAGGAAAAACCTGAGGTTGGTGGAGATGTACAGTAGAGTCTGCGCTCTATTACATATAATATATATATCTCATATTCAATGACTTGCGGAATGAATGGGAAACAAGGATCAATTTATATAAGTGTTTATAAGTTATAAGTGTGCATGTGTGTGCATATACTTTTTATTTTGACTTTTTTATTTACATTTATGTACAGGATACATAATCCAAACAAACAAACAAACAAAAAACAAAAAACAAAAACCATCTGGTTAAGGTCCAGAAATAGCAGTGAATTCATCGGGTAGTTATGTTACAGGAGGCCTTACTGCATGAAGAACTGTATTTGAGACATCTCCTCAGACCACCTCAGCCACAGTTGTTTGATGTGGAAACTTTGGCAATATTCTTGATTCTTCTCTCCAAACTCCAGGTGTTTTTATCCAGTGTTTTTTTTTTTTTCCCCCTGTGTGTCTTCGATGATAGTCTGACCTTATCATCATCCTTCTCTTTACAAAAATTTTTGTTGTCTTCCAATGATATTTAAGACATTTAATCTTAGACTAGCAAGATGGCTCAATGGGTTGAGGTCTTTGCGTTCAGGCCTAATGATACGAGTCCAATTCCCAGATTCCACAAAGATAAAAGGTGAATACCCAGTCTGGAAATTTTTCTTCCAATCTCCACACACACAGCATCAAATGCTTAGGACTGTGTGTGCTCATACCAGTAAATTAATTTAAAAAAATACAACTTTCAAGTCATAAATGTAGCCTCTGCCCACTCCTAGACCTCACTGTAGAGCCCTTGTCAGTCTCAGAATGCTGCAGCCATGAGGTCCTCTTCCTTCACACCCTCCATCCTCCTGCTACTACCCGTGGGTTTTTGCCTACTGTCTTCATTGATCACCAACGGGCATCTTCTTGGACCTCAATTCCGTTTTCTTCTCTCTGTTATTTACTATTCTATCATGCTCCTCATTACACCATGTTTCATGTAGTTTATTTGTTTAATGAATGCATTTCTCCTTTGGAAACCTGAAAGTTTCCTGATCATATGCTCCAGTATCTTGTTTGTTCCTGGCTCAGCACATAGGACATTCCACCACCACCCCCAATTATTGTTGAATAAACGTGGGTTGGGTGGGGAGTAAAGAGCATAGTAAATAATTTTAAAAGAATCAAAAAATTGTAATTTTACTACTTACTTAAGCATATCAAAGTACCTATTTTTACCCTACTTAAACAATGAGATTATTTGAAGTCATCATCTAATAGTTAAGGAAGACACATGTATGCATATATGAAGACAGGAACCTATTTTGTATATTTTAACTCAAAGATTTATTGAATGTGTAAGGTTTTTTTTCTTTTTTTCCATTCATTTATTTAGCTCATAAATAAAGTCATGCACAATTATGATACAGAATACAGTATATTCACAATGGCATGGCTAAATTAAACCACTTAACATGTTATATCACACATATTCGTCATTTTTGTTTTGAGAACACTTAAAGTATACTATCTCACAACTTTTAAAATATAGCATATTGTTATCAACCATATTTATCATGCTCTCAGTAGACCTCAAGACTTCAGAGAGTCCGTGCCTCTTGTCCAGTTTTATATCCTTAAACCAATCATTTCCCCATTGTTAAAAGACCCACATTGAAGCCTAATAGCCACAATTCTGCTCTCTGTTCCCATAAGTTCATCATTTCTAGGTTACACATAAAATTGAAATTGTGTGACATTTGTCTTCCAGTGTGTCACTTATTTTTTTTTTTTTGGCAAGCATATAACTTTTGAATGTGTAAGATTATGTTAATATAATCATACAGAGAGCAGTCTGATAAAATTCATGTTAAACATCCAATTGTTTTTATTGACCCACTATTTCCACCTAAGAATTTGTCGTAATGAGTAGACCTAAATATGGAAAGGGTTACATATTTAAAGGTATTTCTCTGAGTGGTATTTATGGAAGCAAAACCCTGGATACCATCTAAATGCCAAGGAAAATAATGGCTGAATAAAGCATAGTGTGCCCACTAGATAGTGTGGGAGTACCACTTAAGTGAAAGATTAAGATAATATAATGACTTCCAAATGTTTACAACTAAATGCAAATAACATAAAGTTTTATAAATGTGTTTCTAAAGCCCATCTATGTGTGTTCAGGGGGAAGACTGGAAAGAACTTTCGTGCTGCATAGCAATGAGTGATTTCTTCCTTTTTCATATATTTGCCTTAGCCCATGTGTTTTAATTTCTGCAATGTTTATTGCATCTGCAATGCACATGGCTACTGTGCATATGCCATGTAGCTCTTATATTATGGTATAGTTTCCCAGTCAGGACATTTATGCAACTCTCTTTCCATGTATTTTGTGACCGTGGAATTGATGTGAGGTGCTTTCTTTCTCAGGACAACAGGCCCTTTTCTGAAAGTTCCCAAACTCGAGGCCTAGGTCACTCATCCTCTTGGCAGGATGGCAGTTACTTGCTGTCTGGTCCACGGTTTTCACGTAAGTAATAAAATCTTTTACCACTTATTAAATTGGATTTCTTAAAAAGTGTAACTCATGGGGAAATTAAAGTTTAAGGCCAGTACATGATGGTAATATTCATTCTAAAGTTTGAGAAATTTTTCATTATAGATTATAAAAAAAAGTCCCCCAAGAGCACATCTGATGGTTACCAACTCTCTGCAGAACATGGAATTCCTTTATACACCTCAAACTTTTTAAAGGAAACTTGAAGTAAATCATCTAAAGTTAAAATGTCAATTAAACCAATTTTTGGTTTAAAGATTGTTAACTCTAGATGAAAAGATAAAGAAGGTTTTTTGTAATAAAATGGAAATCAAAACAGGAAGAAGTTTGCATATAACTATTCAGAAATATTTATTTGTACAAAGGGTAAGAATACATAGACATCTGCACACTAATTTTCACTGTTTATACCCTGTAACAACAATAAAATGTCATGGTTCACTAGCCTAGACTCCAATTACCATCATGCATTCCCTCCTCTCCCCTTCTGCAGTGGGCCTCTTCCACGGGGCTCATGGTCTATGCATTATACTTGAAGAAGGCATCAGTGCTATGGTTTTTAAAGGTGTTTTCTATTTTAAACATCCCAGACTCAATACAAATTTTTAAAATAAATCTTAGGATAACAAATAAATAGATCTTTATAATTTGAGTAACTTTTCATTTACTGGTTTTTGTATCCCCTCCACCACAGACTGACCTCTGAAAATATGAGTGATGCCTGCTTTGTTCACCAGTGTTTCCTTAGCTCTCCACATGATACTTGGCACATATTAAAAGCCCAATTAATATTCAATTAAATTAGGTAAATGAATATACAAGTCCTTTTTTTGAAGTCTACTTTTATCTAAGCCATCGGGATTCAAATATTATTTAGTAGATTCTAATTTGCATAATAATTTAGTTTTTCAATTTATCATGAGCCTGGAGGATTATACATTAAATTTGATAATTCTGTCATTTAAAATAGCTAGCCTGCTATAAAATAATATATCAAAATAGGTCTTAAAGAAGTAGGTCAAATCCAAAGGTGAACTCTCCCATTTTTGCTTATTAATATTCATGGTTCATTTAATAAATATTTATCAGTTTCTGACAAATGGTTTGGTTTTTATTATATCATGATTATTTTATTCCAAAAGCCAAGCCTAGGATTGGGAGAAATATATTTTCTTCAATGCCCTCATGAGGAAAATCATTTTTAACTTGGAATTCCTGTCTTAATCATTTTACCAAGTGATTTTGTATCTGTATAAACCCTCTGCTATTCTGACATTTCATCCACTCTTCAATATGGATTACATTTCAAGTTGAATATAGTATCACAACTGCTGTATATATAGGCCAAAATTTGTGTCTTTCATATTAAGTAATGTAAAAATTTCCTCAGGTTAACATGGACCAGGAAGCCCACCTCAAAACATTACAAGTCCCACCTCCTGGTACACTGAGAAGTTTGGAGATAGCAGGATCATGAGTCAAGTGTAGTAGCCAATTTTCTATTACTAGTTTGATTTTTTTCTTAGATGGCTCCTTAAAGGAAGTATTTAGAAGCCATGAAACAGGAAATATCAAGGATAATTGGGACCCATGGAACTGGAGTTCCTCCCCCACTAATAAATTTAATAACAAAAAAATGTAATCAATTTAGGAGGGATAGCAAGATGGTTAGACAGGTAAGGACTCTTGCTTTAAGGCTGATGACCCAAGTTCAGTCCCTGGGGCTGACATGATGCCCAGAAAGAAAAGATGTTCACAAGTTGTCCACTAACCTACAAATTCATGCTGTGACATGTGTACCTACAAATACGTTCTCTTTCTCTGTCTCTCTTTCTGTCTGTCTGTCTGTCTGTTGTCTGTCTGTCTG